GTGTGTGTGTGTGTGTGTGTGTGTGTGTGTGTGTGTGTGTGTGTGTGACATCACAAGTTTGAAGTCAGATAAAATATACAGTGCCCGCACTCAATTAAACAAGGCTTATCTACTTCTGGTTTTATTTCTACTTTGACTAATTATCATATTTCAAGTGCAGTTTGTGTAACTCTTCGAAATTGCCCATCTATTGAAGTGTACATGGTGTAACTGAAAGTGATTCCTCTTCACATCAGGAGAAAAGCTGCAGACACAGGAGAGAAGCCCGCTGTGAAGCCACCAGAGAATGTAAGAGTCATGTCACATTCTTTTTTGTTAATGCTGCAAAGCATATGAAACGAGTGTCTGCATATGTAGTTGATGGTTATAAAATAGAAGCAGGTTGATAATGACTCGCTCTTACAAGGTTTCTGTCTGTTGTTTTTTTATACAGGATGATTCAGAGCCTCAAGGTCAAGGCGGTGAGAACTGAACAATTTCATCTGTTGCATGCCACCTACACTCAATCTGATATTAATTATACTGAGTACAAAGTAAACGTCAACAACTGATGTTTTCATACATTTTCCTGCTCAGACACCCTGAGAAGACCGTGGGAGAAATCAACTATGACCAGGTAATCCAGGATTCAGTTACTTCCATGCTGCCGTCATCAACACGAGACCCCCCCCCCCCCCGTGTTGGTGTCTCGTGTTAAAACTCAACCAAAGAGTAGTTCTCCATCAGTGCGAGTGTGGTTGTGTGAACATGTGTGCGTCATTGTTTGCCCGTGTGCGATTGTCTTCCATTTCCATTCTAAGAGGAAGGTGTGTGTGTGTGTCTCACTAACAGGAATAACTCCATCCCCAAGAGCATGGACTCCACCCCCTCATTGTCCCAAGGGTTCAGGTATACATGCTGCCCCGATCACTCATGACCTTAGTTCCCCTTTTCTTTTCCTCTTCAGAGTTAGAGCAGCACACCTACGTACTGCTATAGCATATTGTACAGTCGATAGCAGCACCATCTAATGGATCAGAGAATGGCATGCACCCAAGGGACTTGTAGGCGTAGCAGCCGGGTGTGTTGCCTCCGTAAACTGAATAATAAGATAGAAGCCCGACAGTGTGACCGATGCGTATTTTTCGATGTCACTTCTGTGCACTGGGGTTGATGCTGTCCTCTCGCGTTGAACTTAATATCTGCATTATTGGTATCCTTAAGGTTGACATCACTTCAGAAAGGTAATTATTAGATATGTTAACCCTCATTGCATCGTTGGGTGTGTGGACGTTTCTGCAACTTTCTACTGACTATCCCTTCATCCCTCTGGTGCTGCTACTGGTGATGTGCTAGATTGACAGTTGGCTCGTCACTGCAGTGCCGTGGACCTTCTTGGCTTTTTTTTTTTTTCTTCTGAAAAACAAACCTAAGCAGTTGTCTGTATTTGTCTGCTTCTTGTCTTCTTCCAGGCCGAAGCCTGCAGCCAACAACGGTAATGATGCAGGTGTCATGGATGACTCGGATTTAGAGAAAATGAAACAGGTGAATTTCTCATCAGCCCAGCGACATCAATTTTCAATTAATAGAGCGGAACGTGAATTAGTGAGATTACATGCTTTCTCCAGTAAGCTGATTTTGTCATTATGCTCCAACACACACACACACACACCAAAAAAAACAAAGTCAGGACCAATGCAGTGTCTTCTATCACAATACAGTTAAGATAAGAATGCCATACTTCTGGCTTTTGATGTCAGGGTAGGAAATAAATGTGATTACAGACCTACTGCGTGTGTACATGGATTCACAGTAACCAGGTTATCACAGTAACCCTGTTTCTTCTGAGTAACCTGGTTACTCGTAGTACGAGTGTTTAACTATCATCTCATGACTGACGATCTGTTTGTCAATCAATATTCTGCAGGAGATCCTGGAAGAGGTGCGTAAAGAACTGCAAAAGGTTAAGGAGGAAATTATTGGAGGTGAGATTTCTTTGTACTCTCTTAAAAAAACGCTAAACATTTCAGTTTTGCTTTACACAGTATTTCGGGGTATGTGACGCTTGTTTCCCCTCTGCTCTTGCACAGCCTTTGTTCAGGAGCTGCAAAAGAGAAGCACATAGTTCTGCTGAGTGTCAGGTGTAACGGAGGGATGCGATAGATGGAGGTGGTCGAGGACTGTTGGGACCTCTCCTCCGCTGTGCCCTCTCATGTAGCCCAGGGATTTTTCTTTTTCTCCTACACATTTTCTCTTTTCTTTCTGTCTTACACAAACGCATGTGAGCATACTTGCTTATGTGTCCATCATGCATATTCACTTCATGTAAATGGTAACCCTCCCCCCCATGCCATCCGGCACGTTTGATGGTCACTCCCCAACGCTGCGATGGTGATCCCATCTATCCGATCTCTCCCCCTGTTCATTCATCCCGTCCCCTTGTGTCCCCTTGTGTCCTCTGTGTTCTGTTCATCTGAACCAATTCAGAGCACATAGCTACAGCCACAGTTGTTCTTCCAATTCGTCATCATGTACACTCATCATATCCCTCTTTTCTGCAGAAATCCTGCTACTTGTGTCTTCTCCCTTCTATCAGACGCACCATTTACTGATAGAGCAGTCTTCAGTATTCAGGGACAATGTATTAGTCACATTTTTACTGTAATAGCGAGATGCTGGCATGCTGGGATCCTTTTTCTCTCTTTCTCAGTTGGCAAACACTTGTTCGACCTCAAACACTGCCACAGATAGTTGAGTTTAGACATCTGCCAGTAGGTTGTTGTATCTAATGGTAGTTGGAGGTGGAAAAACAATAATAATCAAGGATGGATCGGAGACCCCAACGGCCCCCGACTACTGCAGTGTCGCTCCGTCAAGTGAACTTTCAGCTCCTGCGCCAATGGCTAAGAACTAAAACGGCACAACACAAGCCTTCACTGCTGCAAGATGGAGACGTGAGAGGAAGAGGAGACAAGCAAAGGGAATCTGATGGACAACCTGAGTGCTGTGAAAGAGTGTGTTGTAGTTTTATGATGTGTGAGAAATGTTTTCTCTTTGCATTGCACTTGTTCCAGAGGAAGTGTGTCTGTGTGCCGCACTGCCTTGACAGACTATTCCCTCTCACTCAACATGAGATATTTGTTGGCCAGTGCAGTGCTCCTCCACTGTGCTTCCGCTAGTTCATTTCTTCCATTCTAGCTGTTTTCTAACCTTGAAACATGAAAAATGGCCATGATGAGGTCAATTAATTTGCCTTGAGAATAAATATATAAATATATATATATATAAATATATATATATATATATATAAGGAAAAATATATATTTGTTTTGAGGGAAAATGTTAGCAAAAATTAAATGGTGTTTCTATTTTAATCGAAATGACTGGTGAATGGGGATTTTGTTTTCTTTTTTCTTTTTTTTTTTTTTTTCAATGATTGTTTTCTTATGAGATGTTATTTTGGGTTTACTGTTTCTTTTTTCTAATAGAGTCTAGGCTTTTTACACTGAAATAATAAGAAAACAGCTTAGAGACACTGGATTAGAAACGCCTTTATAGTCGAATACAGCTGCTTCTTGAAATGCATTACTTTGTCTCGAGTCATCTTTTCTTTGAATTCAGAATAATGAAATTTTGCACAAACTGGCATAGAAATGTTATAAAATACATGAACATGAACAATTTTCAGCTATGTGGCTCATGACTGAATTCTAGCTTTAATATGACAATAAATAAGTGCAAGCTTACTATATCTCTTTTTACTAACTTTGACCGTTTGCGTGTATGTATTTCACAAACTAATATCTCTGTTTATAGTTGGACTAAAGACTAAAAATATGTTGTCATTAATTCTTTTTTTTTTAAATAGTTTATAAATGTGATACGGAACTGACGTACATGGGCTGTTTATTGCTTTGGTTTTATGGAGGATAGACTCTTAATTTGTAAAACCGTCAGGAGTAGAAACACGGAACATGTATTATTTTTTGCTTAAATAAAATAAAACCCCTTGATTTATCAAACCCATCCTTTACACAGGAGCCACTGTCCTTCCAGAGCTCCCTTGACGCTTCCGGACCGAGAAGCTCTCAGCCGTTTCCTCCGCCATTGCGGATTTTGGACAGAAGATCAGCCGTATAGCCACTGCCATCCATCGATGCAGTGCAGAAAGCACACACAAAAAGGGAGGACATAATTTAAATTTTTCTACTGCTACCAGATTTCGGAAACGCGGTTAACAATATCACATATTACCGTTTATCGTGTTTTTTTTCAGTGTTTCACTGACTGGCTCCCGACCTACACGTAGAGTGAGGAGGTCGTAGCTAGCGCGGTGCTACTGCTATTAGCTAGCTGGCTGTTAGCGGTACCACTAGGATTTCAGGTACGCTGGAGAAGCTCGAGGAACCCACCATGGCTCAGATCCTACCGATCCGCTTCCAGGAGCACCTGCAGGTATGTGAGCAAAATGTGACAGCTAAACGAACACCGACATTATTTGTTCATCTCCCCGGTTAACGGTCGTTTGACAGCTTGCTAACTCAGCTAACGGTAAACGTCAATACCCGAATGAATGACCTCCCCTCCCCCGTTGAGTCAGCAGCCAAGCTAACTAGCATCTAAGGCTAGCAGCTCATTCATTGCACTGATGCTGTAGCCGACTCCACACTAGCCGACGTTAGCTGTCGACAACTGAGAGAAGACATTCGTTGATATTAGACATTGTTCCTGACCCTTGGTGACCAGTTCTTGCTGTATGCATGTCTACATTTTTGGTTAGCAAATAAGCCATTGCATTGGCAAGCTAACCATAACGGTTTTTGTGTCGTGAGGGAGCGAGTCACGTCATCTAGTTAATCGTAACGTTGGCTGACAACGTTTATTGCTCGGATGGCTGCTATATAATGCGAATGTCTCACGGACCGTCAGTTGATGAGCTGTCAAGTGATGTACTGAGGCTGGCTAACGCTAGCAGTTTATAATCCGTGGTCAGCTGCAGTATGACTGGAGCCTGTATGCCATACAGTGAGGTTGTGTCACGACAAGACATGTACACAGCTAAAAGGGAGAGGCTGAGGTTGTTCTGTAGAGGTTTCTATCCTCTTCCAGCTGACGGGGCTGAAGCAGGTGGTCCACCCATTCTATCAATAATTACATCGTCTCTCACTCACACATACGTTATAATTTTCTAAAACATCTGGAAACGGATTAAGAGTCAGTTCAGTTATAGTCGAGCATTTCTGACTGTGTGTTATCTGATCAAATTCTAGATTAAACCCCACAGAAGACATCTTTCATACTATGACTACCATGCACCTTGGATGGCCTTTTGCCATCAGACGATATATTCAGTTTATTATATTTTACATATAGAGAGTTGTCTGTTGTCATATAATGAATATGCTGGCAGCTGAGTTCATGTTACATAGTTCACAACAACCGTTGAGAAGTTGTATTTGCATAAATAAAAAAAATAAAATGTAACTATCTTTTAAACAAAGATGCTTAAGTTATGGGACACTTAAATATGTAAGCTTATCATAATAGTTGTGTTAAGATCATTTATATGATTTTTTTCCTATTTGCCTTTTTCAAGTGTGACTTGAAATTATTTTTATTATTAATTTATTTATTTATTATTAATGATGCCATAGGTGTTTGGTAGTATGACGTCCCCTCATCATTTAAACTCCTACATATTTACTATCAATACATTAAGGACCACAACGTACATAAATATTGTACTTTATTGTAGTTTTCTGTGATATTCTTTGTAGTATAAACTGTGTTGGCCACGGGCTGCAACTAAACCAAGTCATGCGTTCTCATCTCAGCTCCAGAACCTGGGGATCAACCCGGCCAACATCGGATTCAGCACTCTAACCATGGAGTCCGACAAGTTCATCTGTATAAGAGAGAAAGTGGGGGAGCAGGCCCAGGTTGTCATCATCGACATGGCCGACCCCAACAATCCCATCCGCCGGCCTATCTCTGCAGACAGCGCCATCATGAACCCTGCCAGCAAAGTTATTGCCCTTAAAGGTAAGCTTTAGCTTAAATGCATCTCTAGCACTTTTAGCACATCGTTTTATGTGCCACCTAGAGAGGAGAGCACTAAGTTTGTGAAAGCACATTGACTTAAAAGTAAACCGTTAAAGTTTTGGCCGGTCACATACCTCGCTATGGTGCCTTTCTAATACATTTTGGGTCATTTGTGTAAATTCCGTTTGTGTTGTCAGTCAGTTATGTAGCTTTCACAGTCTGCTTTTCATTTTGATGTTCATATGTAGACCACCCCATTTCTGTTTGTCCAAAAAAAAGGTTGAGTAACTAAAGTACAGTGTAACAAATTGAAATGTACAAGACATTGATATTTTAGGACAGGTAGTACTAGTGGTAGTAAAATGTCATGCTGTCATGAATGCTTTGTCTATTTTGCTTGTTTTTGCTCTTTTTTCATTTCCTACTGCTTTCTTATGTTTGCAGACGGTGAGTTGAATTTTACATATCATGAGTTGTCAAAGTGTAATATTGTGGGCACTGTCTTGAAATGTTTGCACAGTTGGTAATTTGAATGAATGCTTGGATTTATAATAGCAGCGCAAGCAAGCATAGCAAAATTAAGATGTCAGCCTAAAGGACTGTCTTTTTCTTTCCTTGTGTTTTTTATTTTTTCGTGTGTGTTTGTCCCATTTGCTGTACATATATTTTATCTTACAGCTGACCATTTTCTGACACATAGTTGAATGAATACACTGACTTTGGAGGTGAAAACCTCCCAAAAGCTGACTGACAAATGGCAAACCTGAAAGTCTTAAATGTGTCTGCCTCTTCATTTAAGAACATGTCAGCTCATAATAATACAGTTCCTGTGTCACTATCACAATCTGAAGGCACTCGCATAACACAATACACATATCTGCCTTTGAAGAAAACATCTTTTATGAATTGAATTATAGAATTCAATGGCCAACAAATCCTGGCATGAATGGAAAACCAGTTGAATATTCAGAAATGTTACAAACTATTATGTGCTTTGGAAAATGGTTGGTAGTAATGAGTACGTATGTATGTATGTAGTAAAAGGGCTAAAACATGCAGAAAAAATGATGTCATTTAAACAATCAGAAATTCAAGCAAACGGTGACATTTAGGCTCGTCTTGAATAAATAGTCGGTCGTGGTGCATTTGCTGTCTAGTGGACATGTTCCTATGAAGTTGGTCATTTAGTGCGCTTGACTCGTAAAGCTCATTGGATGTTCTCATTAGAATGTGTGTGTATGCCATTGGCCTCTGACGTTTTAATATTTTTAACGTTTTTTTTTACAAATATGTTAGTCAGCAGAGGACAGTACATTCCTAGCAATTTGTAGATTATTGACTGGTTCATTATTTTGTTTTTGTCTTTTGTTTCTTGACTTTGGGCTTCGGCCTTTGTTGTGATAATAATTAGGTTTTATGTGCCAAATTTGAGAGAAGTTAGATGTAGAATGTAGAAAATGTCACACTTTGGTTTCCCCAGTGGTATAATCATGACATTGTGGCGTGTAGCAAAGCACAGAATAATGAGAGATAAATTTACTTTACTACTACTATTTTATTAATTAAGGAGCAAGCGCAAATACACATATTTAATAGTTTGCTATACTTTGGTATATTCCAGTTTCCAGTAAGAGAAAGAGAACAAGCAGACTTGAGAGTGGTTGAGCAAGAACTGAGCTTTATTTATATATGGATCATAATTTTATGGTTTAGCATGCAACTAGAGTTGCAGGGTCAGGGACACTGCAGGGATATAAGCCAGATGTGGGGCTTTCTTTTGGTTGCTTTCCTCCTCTTGTCCTGTGTTTGGACGATACTGCTTACGATATGTCAAAGGAGTAGACTGATAAAGCTGCTTCAGTATCTGTTGAATATGTTGTGTTTCAAGTGTAGTATTTGTGTGATACACTTATTTTCACTTAACTACTTGCACTGTATTTTTATGTAGACAGGTAGTGTATTTTTCGAAGTACTATACACAGTATGACCAAAGTATTCGTTGACAAATGTCACTGTACACATTTTCACTCATATGCTGTGTTAACAGCTATGAGTATTTGGTTGGTTGAAGCTTGCTTGGGCCTGATTTAATCTCAAATATGTCTTGAGCTCATGAGTCGCCGTGTGTTTCCTCCAGTGAGACTAGAAATAAATAGAACGGGCGTGAGCACATCCGTCCAGCATCCCTCCCATCACCGCATCTGTTTGTGTGCTTTGTGGTCGTCTTTTGCTAATCTGCATTCAGACCCAA